TTTATCCGATGAAAGCGGAACTTCATTGCATCAGCATCACTCAATATGTACAATTGTACTTGGTTGTTTTAAGTCGCTTATTTCAAATCATTGTAAGAGGAAGACCGCTACGTTATGTACAGACTGCAGCATTTAGAACGTCGCAATGTTATCCGACAAACTTATGTACATCTTGTTCTTGTCTACATTTACGGAATGTTCTATTCAATCTTACATTTCTTGCTGAAGAAGCCGGACTGCGGTGGCAGGTCGAGACCGATTACGTTTGCTTGGAACTGACTAAAGCGCGTGTTGGGGTTCTCGCGGATGCGTACGTGCATCGCGAAGCTGCGATTCTTGAGGCGCGTGTTTAGATTCTCCAGTTGTTCAGCCGGCGGTTTCACACAGAAGCTCTCGATGTGGGTGCCGATGACGAGTGCGAATTCGTTGGGCCAGATTTTCATCGACATCGTGTCCGCTGCAGGCGAAGTAGGCATGTTTCGGACTTTTTTTTTCGCTTTGGTCGAGAGGGAACGGAAGGCTGCTTGCTTCTCGTCAGCATGGATGAAATCTGCTGAAGTGATGTTGATTAATATGAATTAACAGACAATGGCACAGATGTGCCTGTTGTTTGAATTGATCCAGCCATTCTGCTTGAAACGATGAGCAATCTGACCGACTTCGAAGCGATCACGTGCTATGAAAGCAATTGATTTCGTAGCGGTAGATTGGAAAGCGAAATCTTACGTCCGGCGTCGATGCGGACGTCGGCTGTGACGGTGACCTCCACGCACGCGTCGTCGAGCGGCCCCGGTTTGCAGCCCTGGTCGCAGAAGAGCTCGCGCGTGACAGGGTTGCGGCTGGCCGGCCCATCGCAGTCGTAGCAGGCATACACGATGGAGTCGACTCGCGTAAAGTTGAGGAAGCTCGCCAGCAGAGTCACTGTGGTCCACTTGTTTCCTGCAAGTGTTTGGATCACCCGTGACCACGGCATGATCTTGTCGTCACTCGAAGTCTTGTACGTAAGCCCGATCCCTGCTATGCTTGCTGCTGGTGTGTCACTCGTCGTGATGGTTGTACTGCAAAGGAGCAAAATAGACAGAATTTAGAACAAGCCTCTTTGTCCGATCATCTGTTTATCCGCGAGCGTTGCTCAGTCGTGTCGAATCTCTGCTCAGCCTTCTTCTCGAACTGACGAAATGACTGGTAAACGTACGTAGTCAGAGCAGCTGACGAATGCAGGCCAGGCACTGATTACTAGACAGCAGACACATGTACACGCAGACGGGACAAACAATTCGAGTAACATCAGACAATGCAGATCAGGCAAGATTGATATTCTGTAACCGTTACTAACGATAAACTTTCAGCAAGGCAAAATTTTGCCGTTTCTTGTCGTTTCTTCTACGCGGCAGTGTCCGGTACGGCTAGACTTGCATAAAGTGCCCGCGCGCGCTTTCTCTTCTGACAGCTTCTGTTCGAAAAATCTTCGAAAGAGTGCATAAGATGCATCCTACATCTGGTTCTAAAAGTCTGCACTATACGGATGATAAGGCGGCGCTCGAGGTACTTACTTTCTAGTGCTGCTGCAGCCTTGGTCCGCGTCGTACTGCACTCCGGTGATCGTGATGACGTCACCGCGGGCTTTCAGCCTCTTGAGCGTGGGAAGATGCGCCATGGTACCACAGACAGCAATGCCGCCCATGATACCTTGCTTGTCTTTGATGACAAGCTTGCGAACGTCGCGATCACCCCTAGATGTGGCGGGCGTTGAGACGCGGCTCTTGTAAATCAAGAGCCCTTCGAGCTTGTGAACCTGTAGAATTTGCTGAAACATGTAAGTAAGATGTGTTCGTTCTGCGCAACGCTAACGTTTACAGTATATTCGTGTTACAGACAGGCGTTCGCGAAATCCTGAGAGAGAAATATACTACGTCCAATTGAATCAAATCCACGTGGCACTTGAGCGTTTGCTTAAAGCGCGATTCTTTATTAGTGTATGTGTTCTCTCACAATTGATAGTTCACAGCGTTATTTAACATTGCAGAAGTACCTCAGAGTCTGTCAACGGAATACAATGCATAGCAACGACTAGAGGGTAACAGATGCAGAATTTTGTTAATTCTGGTGAAAATGTTAGATTGCAACCGCTCGCAAGGGCCGCGTACTCAAGTTTAACCTTTGATTTGTAATTTGATCTGGAACCAAGGCTAAGATCTGAAACATGCACGAGAACTTACCCCTCCCGGCTGCAGAGAGCTGAAGTTGGCGGGAGCTTCGGCGACTGTGTCAATGCGCTCCGTCGACTCGCTGATGAGAGTGCGCCCTTCTTGAACTTTCAGGGAGGTCGGATGTTCGGTGAGCGAGAACCTACAAGAAACACAAATTTTCTATTAATAGAGATGATCAAGCTGTAGATTTGCGCTTGTGCATGAGACAGATGCACTCGTTTGAGACAGCCATTGTAGAGTTTGAAGAGAAGCCAAAGTGTTGCAGCGAATTCGGCGTAAAGCAGAGTGCAGTTGCATCCTTGTGCG